CTGCTCAATTTGAAACCCTTAGACTCGAGAGCCTGTCTCCAAACCTCCAACCTCTCATTAACACCGTCCCACGTCTCATCAATCAGGATTATGTCATCAACGAATAACATACACCATGACACTTCCCCTTGAATATGGTGTGTTAATGCATCCATTACTAAGGCAAATAAGAACGGGCTAAGCGCTGATCCTTGGTGTAACCCCATAACAACCGGGAAATGCTCCGAGTCGCCTCTCACAATCCTTACCCTAGTCTTAGCTCCATCATACATGTCCTTGATCGTTCTAACATAAGCTACCGGCACACCTTTTACCTCCAGACATCTCCATAGCACCTCCCTAGGGACCTTGTCATATGCTTTCTCCAAGTCAATAAATACCATGTGCAGATCTTTCTTCCTATCCCTGTACCGTTCCACCAACTTCCTAATAAGGTGGATAGCTTCCGTGGTCGAGCGACCCGGCATGAACCCGAACTAGTTGTCAGATATAGACACTATCTTCCTCACCTCCACCACCCTCTCCCAAACTTTCATGGTATGACTTAGTAACTTGATACCTCTATAGTTGTTACAACACTGAATATCACATTTGATCTTGTACAACGGAACCACTGTACTCCACCTCCACTCATCCGGCATCCTCTTCGTCCTGAAAATAACATTAAACAGCCAGTCAGCCACTCCAAGCCTGCTCTACCCACATACTTCCAGAACTCAACCGGAATTTCATCTGGCCCGGTCGCTCTGCCCCGACTCATCTTACGCATAGCCCCCACGACCTCCTCCAACTTAATACGCCTACAATACCCAAAGTCTCGGAGACTCTCTGAATGCCCCAGATCCCCTAGCACTATATCACGGTCCCCTTCCTCATTTAGAAGACCCTGAAAGTACATCTGCCATCTCTGTTTAATCTGGGACTCCCCCATCAAGACTCTACCGTCCTCGTTTTTGATGCACCTCACTTGATCCAAATCCCGAGCCTTCCTCTCCCTCGCTTTAGCCAATCGAAACAACTTCTTATCCCCGCCTTTTCCCCCAATTCCTCATATAGTCGGCCAAACATTGTATTCTTAGCCTCCTTTCTTACTATCTTGTACCTCTCTCTATTCGCTCTCATCTCCTCCTCGCATGTGCTCCCTACCAACTTCATATACGCTTCCTTCTTCGCCTCCACTTTGCCTTGGACTATGTCATTCCACCACCAGTCGCCTTTCAGCAACCCCAACATAAAAGAAAATTCCAACCAAAAACTGACAAGGAGTTTATGTAGCGAACAGCCACCAAGAGAAAGAAAACTCGACCTCTTTGATAAAAACGAAACCTTAATGCTGCGAGGGAGATAATTCATATCAAAAAGGCAGCAATGGCTCTGATACCATGTAGAATTTGAGAAGAAGAAAAGCCTTCTTGTATTTTCATGTGTTTCTTACATCCCTAAGCAATGATATTTATACACTAGGTCCCATGACTATTTTAGGAAGACAAATAAATTACAACCAATTAGAAGAAAATTAAATCTCAGTTAGAATCAAATCTTTCCTAATAATTAAGACAACAACAAAAACCCATGTTTGCAAGTAAACATTATTTTAATGGGTTAAAATCATAGTTGGAGTTTTTAGTTTTTAGGGGCATAAATGAGCCATTTGACTAATGGCGAGGGTACATTTGGGACCATATTAGACGAGGGCATGATTGCTCTATTTTTAATAGTTTAGGGGTAATTTTGGCTCTTTTCCCTTGTTTAAATCTCTAATCAATCATATTTGTTTTTGAATGATCCTTCCATACACCAACCAGCCAAATAATAGCAATTTTCCAATCTCTCATGTGGATGCATTTCGAGGCTAGAAGGGTAATTTTACAAAAGAAACAAAATAATGGAAAAAAATGAAAGGCCAAACTTGGAAAAAAAATAGGCAAAAGAAAATCACATTGAAAAAAGGCATTTGGAGCCATCCCTCCCTCTCTCGGAGCACCACTATAACCTGACATCCACCCTCTTTTACCTCGCCAGTCTCCTTCCCACACTTCATCCCTACTAATTGCCCTTCCACAACCCTTTCATTTTCTCATTCCCCACGCGTGGCATTCGCTCCGAATACAACATCAAACAAAAAATCTTGACATCTATAAGAGTAAAAGCAAAGACTAAGACTACTGCTTATACCCTTCAAGCATATCAAACTCAGCTATGAAGCTGGTGGGTGATTAGTGTGCTAAATTAAACAAAACTTAGGATCCGTACATGTCCTAGCTTCCCACCATCCCTATTCAACAATAGAATATCCTAGAAACTGACTTGGCCTTTGGGTCAATCCGTGGGAGCTTGCAAGTGATGGTTGGCAATCGGCGTCGATTTTGGCTCCTCTCTAAACTTCTCAAAACTGCACATTCCCCTCCTGCCCCCACCTTGCAAAATACACAGCTCCTGACTTCTAAAAATTGCACATTTGTTTTCCATATTACATTAGTTTATGAACTCTCATCAAATTACTCATTAGCCATCTCCTTTATTATACCTCTTCTTATATTTGGAAGTCAAAAGGAAGAATATCTATCTCACTGAGACCATTCGCACGCTACTTATACAATTAGATGTTCCGTCCTTGTAACTTTTGAACAAAGATGTTTTATACCTTCTATTGGCTGATATCACCTTCTTGAAATTTAGCCTCATCTGATACCTCCCTTTGAACATCTCAACACCTCCATGGTTTTACCAGCAATACCACTAGAAGATTCTACATTTATCCTCCATCTCTCTTCACAACATAGATACTGTTGACCTTGTTTTTTTTTGTTTGTAAAGATCAACACTTTTGACTTATCCTCATTGCTAGCGTCCTATGCTATGTTTGGATGATTCACATCTTGCATCGGATCCTTCGCCTACAGCTTGTCACCTACACATAACTCACTAGTGGTTATTTACAAAGGTATCCTACTACTCGTAATTGTTGTGACCGTATATATTGTTGAGTAAACATTGTTTGTCATTACCCGTCATGCCTTTTTGGGTCGTATTTGTCCTTTATTTCAATGCTAAATCTAGAGAAGAAACTTTTTCTGATTTCGTCCGGTCACAATTTATGTTTTAGATATGTTAGATTTACACTCTAGTGATATCTTGGAGCTCATTCCTACTTCTAGGTAAATCAATTGTTGGTTGCCAATGTGTGTTATGTTAGTGAAGGTTAATCTTTAAGGACAGGTTAATCGGCTTAAGGCACATTTGGTTGCCAAATGTTATGCACTGATTTTTGTACTAGCTATAATGATATATTCTCTCCCGTGGCTAGGATTGCTTCTATTAGTTTTTTCCTATCCATCATTGTTGTTTGTGATTGGTCTCTTCATCAACTGACATCAGAAAATGCATTTCTCCATCAAGAACTTGAAGATAAGTATACACGGAGAAACCACCAAGTTTTGTTGCTCAAACGAAGTATAGTGGTCTTGTGCTTTGATCACTATATGATTTGAAACAATCACCTCAATCATGGATTGGCAAGTTAGCACAGTTATTAAGGAGTTTGGCATAACCCACAATGAAAGTTGATCATTCAGTGTTCTTGTGCTTTGATCACTATATTTGGTAATGTATGTGGATGAAATGCGTGTAAGGATTTGGAGGCATTACCAAATTGAAACATCATTCAGTCAGTATTCTTGTACCATGATCTAGGCAAGTTACATTGAGGTATTCCTAAGCACTCACCACAATCCCGATTAGGTATTGCCAATTCATAGAGGGAGTATGCTCTCGATATTCTTGAAGACATAGGCATGACAGATGTTACGCCTATTGACATCATGTGTATGTTAAGCTTATAGCGGGTGAAGGGGAGCATCTTCGTTTTCCAGGAGGTTGATCAAAAAGTTAAACTATCCCATCATAACTTGACCTGGTATTATGTTCTCAATAAGCATTGTAAATTAACTCTTGGATTCTCTGTGTGCAGTGTGCACCTATTGGGATGCAGTGATTCGCATCGTTCATATAAATCTACTCCATGAAAAGTAATGCACTATGAGGATTGAGAAAACTGTTGCGTACACGGGCACATTGAGCAGATCAATTTTAAGACGTTATACTTCCAAATAATGCTTTCTAACTGGTATCTTGGTAGAGTAGAAACAAAATGTGGTTTCAAGATCCAATGCAAAAGCAGATTATTGAGTCATAGTACTACAACTTATGAAATTCATATGAATGATGAATTAATCGACTAAGAAAGCTGAAGTTCAGAGAGAACGATTGGATGGACTTATGCGTAATAATCAAGTCAATTCATATTGCATTTACTCCAAAAGAGAGGACCCCAAGCACCCAGAAATCATTTGTTATTTTGTCTTTTCTCTCGGGACATAATACATATTGTCACACAACTTATAAGGTCAAATCACCAAGTCCCTCGACGGTCTTTGAGCTAATTATAAACATAGATTTCAATACACCATCTTGAGGGAGAGTGTTATATAGGTTGTATAAGTGCTCTACATCGGGAGATGTAATTGTATACTTTGAAAAGCATGAATATAAAACAACCCAGGTATAAGACATTTGTCTCATGCTTTCTCCCAAATCTCTCTCCCATGTCTCTTATTTCTCACCAAGCAGTTTGAGGGCGATAGACAAGTCATTGTTTAGATTATCAACAGTAATTGGAAGGATTATTTAGAGTCAAATGCAAAAAATTGAGGATCAAATGAGAATAATTGACAGAACGAGAATCAGATCATGACTAAGGTCATACTCTTGGGACTCGTTTGGAAAACTTCCCTTCTTTAGGTTTCAAGGGAGAGGTTAGATTCATTTAATCTGTGCATATTGAAGGCCTTACATGCAAAATTTTGTCCAATAAAACGAGCAATTAGTGGGGCTTAATGGAGCAATATATTGAATTTACTTGTTTAATCTAGGTAGCAAAACTTTTATTCATCCATAGCTTTCATTTTAAAAGAATTATTAGAGGATATATGGCTAACTGCTAAACATCAAAACAAGCATCTTAGTTAAGTATTCCTCTGATCAGTTATGTAAAACTGCAAATGACTAACGTACAATTTTTATTTTTTTGTGGCTAGGTAATGACTAGAATTGAAATTACTGGCTTCTAAAACAATATTGTGAAAAACAACTAACCTCATTTGTGATTGGGTGTATAAGAACTATTTGATGTGCATGCAGGTTATATCCACAGTCTCCAGGAACAGGATTCTCAGGTCTTTGATAGCCGCTAATGAAAAAGTAAAGCCAACTAAATTCAGGTCACGATATTAGCAGCATCAGCAACTATTGTTATTATTTAAAGTGATTAGACAAAACAAAAAAGCTCAGGTATTTTCTGTCTCAATTTTAAGTAATTTGACTATCTTCAAAATTAGCATAAAGAATAAAGCTTCTTTTCGTCAAAATAGGCATAATTTATATGCTTTTAGAGAAATCTGTAAGCTTGTTGTCCATAACTGTCATGAAAAAGGGCTGTTGATTACTACTTCCTTGCTTTAATATGATAAAGCTGTGGAAGCAGGGTACTATAAATAGCACACAAAACTAGTATTTACTACCATGAAAACAATAAGATGTCTGACCGAGGGACTAATTAATATTTTAAAAAAATGCGACAAACAGAACTCTAATTCCATACCCATCTTTCTCAAAACTTTCATCCATTAATTCAGGATCAAAGCACTTTGGTTGCCCGCCAGAAACATAAAGAGGATCACCTGGTAAGATATACAATATTTTATTAATCATAAAAAGAAAGGAACCAACAGAATAGCTGCTTGACTACATAACAAGAGCAGAAGAACTGCTGTAGCATTCAGAGAAATGTTACAAGAGCAGTCCAGCCAAAAACTAATCGATTTTGGTTGGTTAGTTTGTTCAAGGTATACAAATTAAGATTTCAGAACCAATCTCTTTCAACAGACCCAGTAGGTCTATGAAGGCAGTAGGATTATTACCTAGAATTCAGCTTCGACAGATCTACAGTTAGCTCAGGCTAACATTCTTAGCTTTTGCATTGACCAGATAGTACAGGGGGATACAGGGGGAGCATACACATTATAAAATCTGAACACAAGATACTTGTTGAGGAAATTACATAATGGATGATACCATAAGGAAATGGTAATTGTTCCTTTTTAAGCTTGGAAGTGTTTGTCAATGGAATAAGCATCTAAACCTGCAATTTTTATTGTTTTTTGATAAGGTAAAGGTTTATTAATTAATGTACCAAGATGGTACCAAAGGAAAAATAAACCTGCAATATTATAACTATTTGATAAGCCAATCATATTTGCTTGGCTATAACCCAGAGGATGAAAACACATTCCAACCCCCCATCGTTTCAATCACATATTTTCTAGAAGTAGAGGGCCTCATATCATCTTCATCAGAATGATCATTGGCATTTCTGTAACAAAAGAAGATGCAAAATCCACAGACTTAGTTGAGGAAGTATTCCAAGATCATTCTCTTATCATAACCCAATGTATAGTCTGAGGTTCTTCAATCACCTTTTCTCCATTACTCGTGCACTAAGGTAGATATTACTGATATGGTTTCATAGAACTAAGAACTATGAACGTGTGCGTTGCACCAAACCAGAGTCGAAGTACTGGTCAACATATGGTTTGGCCATCTGAAGTTGGTGAACTTTATGTGTCATCTATTCTTTTTTTTTTTTGGGCATTTCTTTTAACAGACAAACTGAGTTCTACTTCTATTTTTCTTTTTATCTTTTTGTGATGGAGGAGAATGTCTTATAAAATTTCAGATTACCAATTAGTGGAAGTCCAATGAAAGAGAGGTGGATACGGATTTGGTGTGGCCTTCCAGATTGAATTTCAACCTGTTCATAACACACAACATGTAGGAAAGAAAATATTAAGGTTCCATCTCCTTCTCCAGGGTAGGGAAGGTTAAGGAAGGTGGCTATAGTAATAAATTTCTTATGTCTTTGACTTCTATTACCTGGACCAATGTGCTGTTATTCTCTAAATCTCTTTCAAGAACGCGAACACTGCTCAGAGCTGGCTTCCCTGGAAACGAAGTTCAGAAGGAATTTAAGCCAAAAATAGTGTCTTTTGAAGCACCACTGGAAATGGTAACAACTGAAGGAATCTTTATAAAAACTAATCCAGGAGACTGTTTATCCAAAATAAACAAATTTGAAAACCTGAAGGAGAAGCAACATACAACCCTTTAGCAACTCCAGGATATTTAATCGTCCCAATTGGTTGCTTGATGACAACCTATCAGTCAAAATTACTTTTAATTTCCAATAACCCAATGGATTGGCTACCCTAGAACAGACACTCCAACGGACAAAATGAAACCAGACAAACTGAGGCGAGAAAAAGTGTTAGAAGGTTACAATGTAAAACACGCATAGAAGGATAAAAGGGGGAATGTAAGTGAGAATAATGCTATAATAATACCTCATCCATATCAATCACACCACTTACAAGCGCCCGATATATCTTGCTAATTTTCCTCATTTTCTTGCACTCTGAGTTGGTGTATCTATACAAATAAAGTTCACCATCTTTAACATAATGAAGGTGGCGATAAAAGCTTCTCATTAAGAGTAAAATGGGAAGTTTAAGTTAAATTGTTTCCAAATTTAGAATGCTATTATTCTTTTTGAAACGGACTAAAAAGGAAATGTTGCCACATAAACTGGAACGGAGGGAGTATTATCTTGGGACTGAAAAGTGTTTTATGTTGATAGCCAGTGACAATATAAAGATAGTACGCAGACTAGCATATGTTTCCACAATTTTCTCCAATCAAGAGAGTTTTGCATGCTTAATTAACAATCTCTTTCAGAACATTAATAACATTAATAAGACAACTCGATGCATCAGTGTCCGACACTGGAACATAGACATCAAGCTGCCTTTATTATTTTATCACTCTGAATGAAATTAGCAATAGCAGCATAAGGCATGTCAGGAAAATAGGGCATGTATAATTGGTGAAGCAGATTCAACATACTTGTCTTCAACAACCGACGTCCCCTCAGCAAAATATGCCGCAAGGCGAGATTTAGCGAGCTTTGTTTTCGCACAGAGAAGTATTCCTGGAACATCTCAGAAAAGGAATAAGATTGTTTTTTCTTGCTTGGTTTCAGAAAAAGAAGACAGGGAACTGTCAAAATGAAAATTTTATATTGTTCCAAAGTTTTCATAATTCCAGAAAGAAGCTCTGTAGCATGATGACTCGACTTCGTATCGGTTGCTAGATCTCGAGAATACGATCATGATTAAACTACTACTAGGTCCTATTAAGAAAAAGGGGGAGACAAAATTCACATTTCTTGAAAACTAAAACTAGGCAAGAATAACATGCTGCCATGACGGAGCACAATTAAAGCTCCATCTTTTGGAAATTACATACAGAATACCATGGAGAGTTTCTTCTAAGATGGACTAATATACTGACTTTTAGATCACGTAAAAATTCGAGAGCGAAGCTGGAAGCCAACAATCAAGACACTGATTGTCACATTGAACGACAATTAGCATTGAAGGGACAAAAACTATTTCAAAAACCATATCATTATCACTTCGCTTCAATGTTGTCCAGAATCGGTGATTAATGTGTTTCTGTTTTCTTTGCTGGATGGAGGTGAAAGATAGCTTGAATGTTAATTTTTTTACATTTAGATTTAGTATTTCCATTCAGTTATTCAAATATAAAATTCCCTACTACCATTGATACAGGTTTATGTAATTCTGTTCTTTTTCAGTAAAGGAGATACCATGACATAACATTAAAGCCATCTTTCATATTTTACTTGTAGCAGAAATTCATTCTTTATTCAATAAGTAAACTTGGAGCAGAAATTCATGTACCCGTGATAACTCACCTGATGTACCCCTTCCTAGGCGATGAACTGGGACAGGATGTGTTTTTCGACAACCCGAGGAAGAGGTTGTCAGCTTGCTCACATGCCATTGGAGTTGTGTCAAGACAGTCCGCTGCTGGAACAACCCTCCAGGAAGGACTTGCAAACCAGAAGGTTTATTTAGAGCAATCTGAAATGTGAGAATCCATAACATGAATATACCCTTGGCCCGTATAGGACAGTGAGAGAAATTCTCTACGAGCTATGCTACAATATGCTCTTTGTTTCACTTGTATTTGTTTCATTCTCTTTATGTATCCACTTACAAGATTTCCAACTGCAGGCTTATTTATTTTAACTTGTTAAAATTTAAATTTTTCGTTCAAGACCAAAACAGGGCCTGTAGAAAGAAGATCTATGAGTTTACAACTAAGCCTCAATTCAAACAAGTAGGGTCACAATATAGATCCTTTATATCAATTATGGTCCATTTGGGCCTATTTTATTCCAATACTGGAATTTGCCTTTAGACTGAATACTCGAAACCTAGGAATTCTTTCAAGGGAAAAGGTCCGAATTTACCCCTTTACTATGGTATATAGTTTACGTTTGTCCCCCATTATACTTTCGTCCAAATCCACCCCTACCATTAACAAAGTTTGCACAATTGCCATTTGCCCTAACGTCCCTCCACCGTGGCATCTGACTCCTCTAATATTTTGTCCATGTCAGCAGCCAAGTAAGCAGGTTCCACTAATTAATCCAACCCTTTTTTTATTAAAAAATTCTCATCTTCTTCTCCCTCTCTTAACTCATAAACCCACACACTCCAAAACCTCCAAAAGATAGTTCTCATCTTCGTCTCCCTCTATTAAATGTTCTCATATTCTTCTCATTTCTTGTTATTTCTTTTCTTCTCACCAAACACTCACCTAACCAAAAACCACTACTGGCCGGTGACAAATGGCTAGAAACACACTTGAAATACAGATTTAGACCATAAAACATCATATCCGAGCGAAGGTGAACCACTATAGCCATGAAAGACGATTTATGTTAAAAACCAAGGCCAAAGCCAAAGCAAAAATAGAGCTCTGCCTACCAACAAAGAAGGTAAAAACTCAAAAGATTAACAGTTGCGTTGTTGAGTTTTGACCTTAAAGTGCGCTCAAAATCGGATTGTTGTCGTCTTGGTTTGGATTAATTTTGAAAAAAAATTAAAAACCCATTTCGGGTTTCCAAGTTCACGGATCTGAAAATTTAATGGATGTTCAGCGTTTATTGCTTAAATCTTCTAGAAATCATTTATTTGTGTTAGATTCGGAGCTTAACACTTATTTTATCAAGATTTAAGAGAAGAAAACTTGAAACCTCCATTTCTAAATAGTGAGAAAAGTTGAAGAACTCATCAAATTCTTCGAAATCTGGAAAAGTCGTGAAAAAAATGAGAATCAATAGTTGTTGTTGTTTTGGGAAATATGAAGTTACTTGAATCTGATTTGGGTGTTGTTTGGTTGTAATGGTAGCTGGAGCCTTGGAGGTATTGGTGGCTTTGAGTGGGGGTGGAAGAAGAAATGGTTGGGGAAGAGGATGGCGAGGTGGCATTTGGTCGTGTGACTTGGAGGCTGACATGGAAAAAATAAAGTGGGTCAGCTGCCACGGCAGAGGTTCGATAAGGATACGTGCAAATATTTTAAGTTCATTAATGGTAGGGACAAATAGTATAACGGGTGGCACAAGTAAACAATATAGTATAGTAGAGGGGCAATTTGACCTTTTCCCTTCTTTAAATCTCACATTTATTCCTACACGAACATACAAATCCCTAACCAAACTAAAAGGATTTTTGGCAAACACAAATCCTGTAAGTGTAGCAACAATGACTAAGCCTTAATTCCATATTGTTCGCATTGCGTATGGATATATGCTTCCATTGTGCTATGTTCTTTGCTAAATCTGTATGGATGTGAAGGGATTGTAGGTCCATTGAGACAATGTCCCTCCATTTGATTTTAGGTCTACCTCGGTTCTTTTGACAAATCATCTTAGTGACACACCTCCGGACATTTGGAGGTGTACACAGGATACAATCAAAGATCTTAAGCGGGTGTATCTAATTTTATCCTCTGTGTATGCTGCACTTTCTATGGGATGTGATTACTTGTAATTTTTCTATTGTTGTAAGATAGTACATCCATCTTGACATAAGCATTTCTACAATACTCATCTTATGGATATGTCAAACTTGAGAGGCCCTATATTCTATCTACATTAAATCTATAGTCTATGCTTCCCTAAAAGGCTAACCCTAAATATCTGAATTGGTTGCATTCAGATGCCATAATCCCGTCTAATCTCACATCAAGTTCATTCTTCTTCCCTGAACTAGTAGTGTATATATATTCTTATTTTTACTTATCAAAAAACTCTTGCTATCTGGAATATTTCTCAATAATTCAAACCATTGATTGACCCTTTCGAATATTGTTTGCAAATGGTATTCACGGTGGAATCCCATCATATATACTACTCCCTCTGTTCCAATTTATGTGAACTGTTTGACTGGGCACAAAATTTAAAAAAAAATGAAGACCTTTGGAATTTGTGATCATAAACAAGTCAAAAAGAGGCCAGCATATTTGTGTGGTTATATATAAAAGCTTCTCATTAAGGGTAGAATTGTAAGTTTAAGCTAAATTGTTTCCAAATTTAGAAAGGGGTCATTCTTTTTGGAACGGACCAAAAAGGAAATAGGTTCACATAAACTGGAACGGAGGGAGTATCAGTTAATCTATAAATAGGATAAACTAGTATAGACACAAAGTAGATCCCTGGTGTAAAGCCACGATTATGATATCATAAATTGACTAGTTTTGTGCTGGTCGTCAATCTACAAACTTCTTCTAAAGAAGCAAAGTAAGGTACTATGAAATATAAACTTCCAAAGCTCAGTGATAAATGCCCCTTTAGTTAAGTGATCACATCACTGGACAGGATTTTGCAGAAGATAACAAGAATTGCATCTAAAGTTTGAGTACCATAGAAATACCAAGGCGGTTCTTTAATTTTTTCCTGCCAATCAAGTTTCATATAAAACCTCGACAAAATGGTTAACCAGCAGCCATTTTACCAAAATTACAAGGAAATTGAGTAACTCCTTCGATTTGTTACTTACCTTCTCAAAAAAAATTGAGGAAATCGCCTTTATTTTTTTTTTNAGAAATGCCATCATTTCCTCCTTCGTGCATTTTTGAATTGCTCAAGCCCAATATGCATCTAGGCGTCTTTAACTTTTCTATTATTCACCTATGTACTTGCATGGACATCAATTTTTCCTCTTGAATTTCCTAGTTTTTCCAGATATTTTTCTATTAACCAATACAAACCTTTTTGGACGAACATACAAAAAGTCTCAAATTCATCAATGATACAAAGAGCTAAGCAGTGATGTCAGTCCGACACTTCGATTGGCAGTGTCAATAACCAACATCATAATAATCGAAGATTCTTCCTGGAGTGATTAATACGATCACATTAATAAGTTATAAAACTTTGATAATAAAACAGAACCTCAATTTTAATTTACCAAATAGTTATCTTCAAATAGTACTTGTAACAAGTAAGGTGCATCAGGTTCTCTCCAAGGAAGTCGATGATATACTAGTTCTGTACCAGCTCTGCTCATCCAAAAACTACACTTCAGAATTCAGATATTGAATCACGCAACATAACGTAGGCTAAGTATTGCGAAAAGGAATTCATTTTACAGAAGTGACCTGAGTTCAGTATCTGGTATAGTAACAACTTTACCGTCAACTGTTATCTGTAACAATTAAACATGACCAAGCTTCATAATCTCAATAGTCCATGTGCATTAAACATCCAATTTAACCATTTTCCTTGAGCAATTTACCTGCTTATTTTGAATTCTCTGCAACCAACTGCTTTACAAATTAGTGTCTAAATCTTCAACAATACTGCACAAAAAAATTATTAATTTTTTTTATAAGCTTACCCTTGTAAAGGAGCTGAACTTTTGTACTTTCTGGAGTAGAATTCGATCAGTGTAAGACCTGTAGATTTTGCACAAAAAAGAAAGCCTAAATTACTTTAAGAAAAAAGTTTGTTGGAAAATAGGTGCATTTTTTGTAAGTATACCAGCATCGATGCGTCGGACAATGTCATGGTAAGTTAATCCGTCATTAAATTCCCGCCAGGTCTCTCCGAAGTACGCCGTCTCCGCCGCTGACGGCGGCGCAGCTAGTTCTGCTTTCTTCGACATTCCTAAGTCGGAGTCGGGAAAATGTTGCCGGAAGCCACTTACAATGACCTGCGCGTGTATGGCGAAAAATATTTTGTTTTGCCCCAACACTTCTTTTTAACACACACTATTATCTCAACTTTTAAACTTAAATATCATTAAGACACAATTCTAATCTAAAAATAAATTAGTGAATTGTTTCTCAAGAATTTAAGTTACACCGCAAATACGTTACTAATCAAAAATTATTTTCGGAAAAGGTCTAAATATACCCATGTAGTATGAGAAAATATTTAAATATATCTCTCGTTATACTTGTCACGACCCAAACCGAAGGGTCACGAGGGGCACCCGGTGCCTTACTCAATCGAGTACCAACGTAACATATCGATAGGATTTGGATAAATGCAATCTCATCCCTTTCTCATTTTTATCGCATTCTTCCTTTGACATTCCATAGTTACTAGAACCACTTGATTCTAACTTAATTCCACATCACTTCATATTCCCCTCTAGGGGGGTACTAAATTTAGTGCTAAGATGATCTACATATAAATATTTTACCTCTTCATCTTCGCGAATTTACTTATTACTCATTTGAAATAGCATAATACTTATAACCTCCAAATATTCTCACTCCCGAGCTTACATCAATTAACTTACAACGAAACTTTAACGTACGAAAATGCGGGATGTAACATTTCATTTCCGAGCTTATATCAATTTACTTATGGAGTACTTCCACGTACGAAAACATGGGGTGTAACAATACTTTGAGTTCAAATATACCCATATCGTTATACTATTGGTTCAAATTTAACTTTTCTTCCGTTAAATTTGTCCAAGATGGAAATCCAATCCTACATGGTACTAACATTTGATGAGGTGGATGTCACGTGGCATGCTACCTCCTCAGCACCCCTAACCCATTTNTGTGGCATCCACCTTATCAAATATGAGTGCCACATAGGTTGAATGTCCACCTTGGACAAACTTAATGGAATAAGGGTATACTTGAACCAATAATATTATGACATGAGTATATTTAGACCCAAAGTATAACGAGGGATATATTTAAACATTTTCTCATAGTACAAGGATATATTTAGTTCGTTTCTGAATTATTTTATATGTAGCTTTATATATTGAATATCCAAATAATTTTGTTTCAAATTTCTTGTGCCATCGACAACTCCCACTCCCCGAGCCCAGCTTTGCCCTTTTTCCTTGAGGAATGTGTCTTAGGGATAAGGCAATATTGTTACTTTGCAGTGGTTTAGCAAAGAAATGAAAATCTTATCACTTTTGAGGTGTTAACTCTTTTTCTAAGAAAAAGATAATAAAAATATAGCATAATTTGCGAAAAAATAAGAGAGAAAATCCAACTGGTTAGTTTATTTAATGTTCATGTGTTTTGTTTTATAATCATTCTATATAAGGTTGAAATCGGGCTCGTCGACGACATGGTAGATCGGGCTCGGAACATGAAGGACTAAAGATCAACCCCAAGTCCCACCGAATCAGAGCCCGAGGTCAGAATGTCTATCTTCGAGAACATTGAGTCCGCGATCCCGGAATCAACCCTGACCCCGAACGAGCTCGAAAAAACATTGTTAGCGTAACCAACAGAAGACCTAAATATCCGTGATCGGTCGGATATTACGGCGGGAATCTCGACACATATCAATAAGGAACCGACAATCAGCAAATCAAGAGATTTTTACCTTTTATAGAATTGTACCTAAAGTAGGATTCCCCCACCATATAAAGGGAGTTTGATAATTCGTTTAGGATATTGTAACATGCATTCCAAAGCAATACATTATTTTTCTATTTAGGCTATTATTCAAGTGTGTCTTGATACCGATCGAAGTGCATCCAGTTCGAGGGTGGCTAACCTCTCAAGACTGTAGCTGCTCAATTCGTGTGGTTTGAATTTACTTTATCCTTGTTCATTTCAATTGCAATTTAATTTATCGCTTTGTATCAAGTTAATCCACGTATCCTTAAAGCCACTTACAAATTCAATTGTTATCCGGTTTTGAGGGTAAAGAGTTTGGTGCCCACCGTGGGGCAAGTATAATAGTGGTTATTTGATACAAATTTCCATAACACACACTACTTTACACTTGTTCTTTAAGGCATTTCTGATTTCAGGCTAAAACTCAAAATGTCAAACTCTCAATCGACACCCCTACATATTGACAACGAGTCTGATCATCATGGTGAAAATAACAAGATAGCGCCCGGTGACGAGGTACTGCCCGTTGATCCTATCGGAATTCCAATCGCGGACCCGTTTGACGGTAACTCGCATGTGGCTATCAACAAAAATCTGCCTACTGACCCCAAGAATAACGTCTGTGGTGGAGCCCGATCAGCAGCTTAAAATATGCAAAACAATGGAGGAGATGTGATCAATTTACGAATGATCTTCGAAATGTTATAGGCTCAACAGGCGGCGATAGCTTAGTTACAGAACCAAAGCCATGCACCGAGCAGAACTAAACCCAATCCGTCTCGAGAAGTTACCCGCAGGGATGAACCGGTCGTCAAGAGGTCGAATGAAAATGAATCGGGGACCAATACCGAGATCATGAAAATGCTTGAAGAACTAACGAAAAGGATGGAATCGGGGAAAAAGAAAATCAAAGCAAATGACAAGAAGGTGGAAACCTACAATTCTAGGGTCGACCAAATCCCGGGAGCACCGCCAATACTGAAAGGCCTGGATTCCAAGAAGTTCGTTCAAAAACCTTTTCCTCCGAGCGCGGCTCCAAAGCCGATCCGTAAGAAGTTTTGCATGTCCCATATTCCTAAGAACAACGGAACGACTGACCCTAACGAGCATGTCATCTCCTACATATGTGCCATCAAAGGAAATGACTTGGATTATGATGAGATCGAATCTATCTTGTTGAAGAAGTTCGTAGAGATCCTGTCAAAGAGAGCTATAATATGGTATCACAACTTACCTCCTAATTCTATTGACTCATTTGCTATGCTTGCAGATTCTTTCATGAAAGCACATGCCGGGGCCATCAAGGTCGGGACCAGGAAGTCAGACCTTTTCAAAGTAAAACAAAAAGATAATGAGATGCTCAGAGAGTTTGTGACCCGGTTTCAAATGGAACGGATGGATCTACCACCGGTCGCTGATGATTGGGCCATTCAAGCTTTCACCCAGGGACTCAATGTTCGAAGCTCGGTGGCTTCACAGTAGTTGAAACAAAATCTGATAGAATATCCGGCTATTACTTGGCCCGACGTGCATAACTGATATCAGTCAAAAATCAGAGTCAAAGATGATCAATTTGGGGCCTCTTCCGGGTCCGTATACCTTGTCAGAACTATTGACAAAGTGAAGAGACACACCGATCGGGAACCGAGATCAAATAGAGATCGGTATCAGCAGTACAATAGAGATCGATGAAGCAGTGGGCCTGGGTGAAATTCTATTCGAAATGAAAGGAGAAATGATTGAGGTCAGAGCAACCGGGGACTTATGAGCAAGAATGGTTTCGACAGGCCTATCGGTCCTAAAGAAGCTCTGAGGTTATTAGAATACAACTTTAACGTCGATGCTACTGCCATCGTATCTGCTATCGAACGCATCAGGGACACCAAATGGCCTCGACCTCTAGAATCCGATCTAACCCAAAGGGATCCTAACCAGAAGGAACCTTGTCTTTCAATGACGAAGACGCACAAGGGATCATGCAGCTCCACAACGATGCACTGGTAATATATGTGATCATAAGTAAATCTCGAGTTAAGCATGTGTTAATTGATCCAGGTAGCTCGGCCAACATCATCCGATCGAGAGTCGTAGAGTAGCTCGATCTACAAGATCAAATTGTTCCTGCAGTCCGAGTTCTAAACGAATTCAACATGGCATGTAAAACCATTAAGGGGGAGATAACATTACCAGTGAATGCCGCCAGGACCATCCAGAAGGCCAAGTTTTATGTAATCGAAGGAGACATGAGGTATAACATTCTGTTCGGGAGGCCATGAATCCACAACACGAGGGCGGTGCCCTCGACTCTTCACCAAGTGTTAAAATTCCCAATGTTAGGAGGGATAAAAACAATCTATGGAGAACAACCAGCAGCAAAGAAAATGTTTACGATCGAAGAGGTGATTCTGATATCCGCACTTGCAACGTCAAACGAACCAAGTTCGTTCGCAAAGCAAGAGGCTAAATAGCAATTACCGACACCGGCCAGGCCCCAACCGGAGAAACAGGGGACTGATGAAGACGATGATTATGGGGTTCCATATCTTTTATAGTCCCTTATGATTCCCACGCCACTAAATCAACGGTCGAGGAGCTGGAACATGTCATATTGATCGAGCATCTACCCGATCGAAAGGTATACCTAGGCACGGGGTTAAGTCTGAGCTCAGGAAAAACTCATTCAATTTCTTATTGCTAACATAGATTGTTTCGCTTAGTTCCATCTTAATATGACATGGATCCCGCCAGAGATAACCACTCACAATCTAAGCCTGGACCCAAAATTCCACCCGGTCAAGCAGAAGAGGAGACCCTAGTCCGAGGTTAAACAAGCTTTCATCAAGGACGGGGTATCTAAACTCCTTAAAATAGGATTCATTCGGGAGGTTAAATACCCGGATTAGTTAGCAAATGTAGTGGTAATCCCTAAAAAAGGGAATAAATTAAGAATGTGTGTAAACTATAAAGATTTGAATAAGTCATGTCCCAAGGACTCCTTCCCTTTGCCTAATATCGATCGCATGATCGATGCCACTATTGATACCCGATTTTTTCCTATATATTTTTATAGACATATACACTTTTAAAATAGTATATATATATATATATANCTTTTAAATTATTGTTGTGGTAATTTAGCCATCTAAATCCTATATTTAGGCAAAATAGTGCTTAAGTATTTTTTGTGCATTTTTATAATTGCATTTACATTTTTAAAACTAATTTGCATATATTTGCAATACTAGCCCTATTAATGCATAATTATGTTTATATGCATAAAATGGTCTTCTATATTTTTAAAATGTTAAATATCTATTTTAAATCATTTTACTACACGAAATTATTTTTTAGAAACCA